GTGTGTGTGTGTGTGTGTGTGTGTGTGTGTGTGTGTGTGTGTGTGTGCTTGCTGTGCTTTTGCTGTGTCAGCAGTATTGGGGGTTCTGAGGTGACAGGAACATCGATAATTAATACAGCACAGGATTCTGGAAAGCCACCAGAACAGGTACTTAACGAGCGGGCGCACACACACGCACACACACACACACACACTGTACAGCCTTATACGTGTGGTGCTGAACGTTGGACTAGTCGAGCACTAAAGTCGATCGCGGTGCACTAGTGCTGCATCTTTTTATTTTTCACAGTGTGATGCTGAACTTTGAGGAAAGCTTTGACACGTCTGTACTGCATGTTATGCAAAATATTAAGAATAAATATATAGAAATGCATGCAATGAAACAACAGAAGAAGACATCAGAGGCCGGTGAGCGTGTGTGGATCAAAGCCAAAGAGTCAAACAGACCATAAAGCAGGGGATGCTTTAGGGGTGGGGCTACAGGGTGATTGACAGGTCTCTAACAGAGACGTATGCAGCGTACATGTTAAGACGAGAGATTAACCCTTTAATTTAATTTGACTCCATTTACTTGAGGACAAACTTCTCTCCAGGACTCTTGTGTCCGTTGTGTCTCAACGTGAACGAGAAGCCGGCGCTGTGAAGATGTTACTGCTCGTGTTCTTCAACCTTTGACTGTGAAGGGTAGCGGAGGCTGTCGGCCATTCTCCTCACGTCCTCCTTTGAAAATGTCAGACGGGCCGTTAGCAATATTCTGAGCTTATTCTGTTGCTAATGGACCCTCATTGGCATTCCAGCGAGAGGCTTCCTATGCATCACCCCAGCTCATTAGAGAGAGAGAGAGAGAGAGAGAGTGTGTGAATCAGGTAAATGTGTGTGTTTCACAGAGGCAGTGAGCATGAAAACTGTGTGTGTGTATGTCGGCCTCCCTCCTTCAAGGTCTCCACTGATCTTTCTCTCGGTGTGAGACGTGACGGTGAGAGTCGGCCCACATCAGTCCGGTCCACTCAGGACTCCATCAGATCTCCAGAGCTTGTGAAGAATCGTATTCATTACATCATCTGTGTGTGTGTACCTCCTCTATTCACCCTGGATTCATTTAACTTGTGTCTCCGACCGCTGCAGCAAAGCTCAGGCAGCTCTTAAACATCTGCCATCCCCCCTTTCCTCGTCTCCTCTTTCATTACAGTCATTTAGCAGAAGCTTTTATCCAAAGCGACTTACAATTCAGAGTCTATCACATTTCTACACCGTAGGCACAGCTACAGGAGCAATTTTGGGGTTAAGTGTCTTGCTCAAGGACACATCGACATGCGACTAGCGGAGCCGGAGTTCGAACCGCCGACCCTCTGATTGAAAGACGGCCTGCTATCCACTTAGCCCCAATCGCTGTCCTTCTCCTCTCCTCCCCTTTCCTCGTCTCCTCTCTCCTCATCTCCTTTCCTACTCTCTATAAAAGCCACAGTAGGAATGTTGGAGCAGTTATTTGAAGAAGAATTGAAGAAAATTTTTATGAATCATAAAAAGTTTCCTTTAAAGCTAGTGTGTTTAACATGTGATGTCATTGATTGAGGTCTAATAAACATCATTATAATAATAACAACATGTACTGTGTTTGTTTGACAGACAGCCGGAGTGGAGCTTCTGATGAAATGCGTCCAAATCCCAGAGACCAGCGACAGTGTGGTGAGTCCTCTTCGTCCTCCATTAAAGTTATCACAGGAGGGGGGGGGGTATAATCCGTCGCTCGGGGTGGAAGAAGTTTTTTAATGTTGTTAGTTTCTTATCTGTTTTCAGTGAGCAATAAGGCGGCACTGTGAGATGAACATTAATGTCCTTTTCCAGAGAAAATAGGAAATTTAAAACCAAATAATTTGACTAAATCTTCATGTCCCCCCCCCACACAGGAGCTCTACATCATAGACTCTGCAGGGAAGCAGACATTAGTGGACGCCTGCGAGAAGATGGTGAGACTTCTTCTCTAAACTAGTGAAACTCCCACAGAGTCCCACGTCTGTCGTTGGTTTGTGGATGTTTTGAAGCCTCCGGTTCAGTGATTTCGCCGTCGCCATCTTGTTTTTTGCGCAACCAGTGAACGGGAATTTGGACTGAGGAGGAGTGACGTCAATCACCGTGTAGCCCCGCCCTAAAGCATCCCCTGCTTTATGGTCTGTTTGACT